GTCTTAACCTCAATTGAGGCCACGTGTGATTCAAAATTGTCCGAATAGCCCAGAATCCCATCTGGGCTATCGGCCATCATGTCAGAGCTTGATGAGCCTATTAGGCCTACACTCCTGATATACTCTACTGTGTACGAGTCCCTCTCACAGTGATTTATAGACTGACCTGCAGTGATATTTGATGCTTGGTTCGCTTGGAAAAATGGTGGTAAGGCCCTCAACACCTGCATCTCATTCAGGGTACCTTCTTTCATCCCTGCAGTGGCAACCAGGGGCTTCATTGCCCAGGACTCTAAAGAGGCTTTTAAAAGCTCCTTCTTCAGCTTGACCGCTTTGTTATTGTACAGTGTCATCTCATTCTCAGGTGCTAAATTCCGAACAGGCAAAAATATCTCCCCTCGACGAACGCAGTTCTGATGTTCGATACATCTAGATATTAGTTCGTTCTTGCGTAAGGAAACTCGCTCCCGCCTGCCTACAGAGTTCAATAAAGAAAGTATCTCCTCCTTGCGCATTTGGGCTAAACTAGTGGTTGTTGCTGACATGAAGCGTTCAGCGGTGCAGATCGTGATCTCAACATCTGTATCACGATTGGAAATTCCAATAGTTGCCGCCATGCCCTTCCATTTTATCATCAACTCTTCCTCAAGCCTTTTGATGTCATTTGTGAGAGGTTGTGTTCCAGCCCGTAGTGTGGCGCCACGGAGTAGGTAAGATAAACCAGATATACTCGAAGTATAGTTCCGGGCAATAGCACCAATAAAGTTGCTGGCAGTTCTTGACGTAAATTTAAATGCCCTGGCCAAGAACCACCCTGGGTCTTCTGCCTGAAACACTGTGTATTGGCACAGCCTCCGCAGTAACTGCACAACTTTAAGTACAGCAATATTTGATAGTGCCTTTTCTTGCGTCGATGGATTACGCAAAAAATATCTACCACCCTCGCCTTCTGGACGAGCGACTCTATTGTCGAAGATGAGCTGAAATTTTTCGACTGCAGCACTATCAAATCTATGCCTGAAGCTATTCTTCGGAATGAGGCAGTACTGGTGTGCTCCGAATCTGACAGGGTCGTTGCTGTACACTGCAGCAATACGGCCTGAGTAGCTTTCTCTGTAGACCGAAGCTTCAATAGTACGACCTTTGCTCTCACGAGGTGTCCTTTGTGCACTGTATATCGCCCTGCAACCCTTCTCTGCCACAACCATCCCCTTATGTTTCTTTCTGATAGGTCCTTCCCCAAAAACAAATGGGTAACTTAAAGAACGCTTATGCGTTCCAATGCTGCTAGCTCCTAACGTCTCATTCAGAAATGAAATCGACTCAACCTCATTATAGGCCCTGTTGGCAGCAAACAAGGAATCCACCATGGGCATCAAGGCCCCAACTGTAGGTACACCCTGAAGCAATTGGACCAATCTGTGCCAAACATGTATTACTTTTTCGTGCGGACGCGAGTAGTGTGACGCAATAAAAGCATGAGTTAATGCGGAGCAGACGGCATTGTTGACAGGTCCGAGGGCCTTGACGGGGTTGTTCACATGAGATAGTCTTGTCAATTGTACAACTGCTTTGGAGCTTAATCGATTGTGATCGTCATCAACCGAGTAGATAGTGAAACCTTCCACATTCACAAGCCTTCGGTTAATGGCAGCCAGCCCGCCTTCCATTTCAGTGATCAGGGCATTGCCGGCGGTCGGTTTGTTGTACCAACCATATGCCGTCTGCTCGCATGCCTCCCTCAAATTTTTCGTCCCGGATAGAGCACTCCATACTTCATTATACCTTTTACCCGAGATTCCCATTTGAAAATAGAATGGTTCGTTCTCTGGGGCAGTTATTGTAGACACACAAGCACCGTAAGATGCAGCCAGTACGTGAAGAATAATGATGCCTTTCAACTCAGCAGTTGAGCAGGGCAAGCGCATGCGAGAGATGAGTACTTGGTTAACGTATACACGAAGTTTCTCTAACAAAGAGAGCGGCAAAAAGGCATCGAAAGCCTCGACTCGGCTTAATCGTTCTTCTGGAGACCGCTTTTCTACCAAACCAGGGCGCTGCTGCAACACATTATCTAGGATAGTGTTTGTTTCTCTCACATAGCGAGGGTACAAATCGAGGTCAACTGTGTCGACAGTTAAAGTAACTGGCTTAAATGCTGGGGCATACGTCCAGGAAGGGAGGCCTCCATTAGACATTGTGTAATGCTCATCGTCCACGCCCGGCCTATCAGGTGGCGCTAAGTTGTGCTCAACAATCAGGTCATTGTCATCCCCATTCATGAACTCACTTTCTACTCCAGTACCAACACTATCCTGAAATAAAGATGAATAAAAGTCCTGCATCACACGGCGACGACCATAGTAATGGTTTGAACTCCATTGATGCGTTCGAGCCCTCGTACTTTGGCAAATTGCGGCAATTTCCTCTTCATCTATGTCTGAAATTGATGCATTATCGACGGATTCATCGCCAGAGACGGACGACGTCCGCTGGGAATCGACCTCCTGCGAGAATGGGCGATCATCAGATGATAAAGAATGGTCATTGACAGGGTTTTCATATGCGTACTGCATGGAGAGGTCATCACAGACATGGCTTTCACTGTCCTCGGGGATTATGGGAAGGTCATCTTCAATTGACGGCGGGGGACGTGATGGCGGCGATGCGTGCTGGCGCCGCGCCTCAGCCTCCAGATATCGAGTGCGAGGTACGAATTGAGGGGCATTCGTGGGATGGCGTGCAGGCTCACAACTTGCAGGGATGTGTAGATCAGGCTCTTGTTGACAGTTGTCATCGTCATAAGATTCTCCTGGGAAAATCCTATGACGATGACAACTTGGCGAGGCAGCGCCAATACTGTCATCGGCCGTTACTGACAGCCGTAACCGATCAGCGGAGGACATAAGTAAAAGGCGATCAGAGAGATAGGGGAGAACTGGGGAGAACTGGGGAGAACTGGAGTAAATTGGAGAACGTTCTCTGGATGGAAGTGACGTCTCCTACTCGTGGAGAGAATTTCTTCTGGAGACGTTTGAGAACATTCTCCTCAAATGTTCACTTTTCATCGAAAATAGATGGTAGATTCTACTTCAGTAAAAATTTGTTCTATTTCTGAAAGTAGAAGGAAAATCATCTACTTCGGAGCATAGGGTTAGAGTCTGCTGTTGTTGCCTTTGACCGTCTCGCATGCCTAGCTTCTAGAAAAGCTCGTTTTGCGGGCCTGAAGTGCGATAAGGCATTGCTCACATCGCACTCCACACCCAGACTCTCCAAAACCCCAAACAACCTTGCTAGCACTACAGCACTCGGTACGGCCCGCCTCTCCGTAATTTCACACTCGTCTTCTGGCACACAATCATCCATCATAGCATCACTGGCAGACTGATTCTGTAGCTCTCCACCATAATGTATTGAATCGCAAGCATCACTAATAGAAGCTTCTGGCACAAGCTCATAAGTCTCGATCTCAATCCATTCCCCCACATCTTTCCTGCAGAATTCTGCAGTTTCTGCAAGGCCGTCTTCTGGCACCAGGCTCAATCAAGTGAGCTTCAAGAGTGGGGTAATGCGCAGGGTGAACAGTTTTTGTTCCGAGCGTTGTAGCGGTGTTGGTCACAATTTGTTGGAGTGAAGGAAGAGAGCGTTTTGTGTTTCGGATGGTTCGTTCTGATTTTGAACTGACGCATAACTGTGGTATTCGCATTCCTGACCTGCAGCAGATGATGCCCAACCTTGATTTTCTGTGCAATCGTAAGGCGCGTACGCTTCGCTTTGGCGATCTTCTCAGGAATCATGTTAGGGTCTTTGAGTGAGGTGCCATCACCAATTGAGCTGAGGCGCATGAGGAGTGGGCGATGACGACGTCGTGCATGACATGTGGCAGAATTTGTGTCTGCCGGTTTTGGGGGCACTAATCGAGGGTGGCAATAATAAAAGCGGCACTATTGCGCGTCCCCCCCTGTACAGTGTACCTTTAATCGAGAGACCACTGTACCGCACCGGGCAGGGTTGTGCTTTTTTTTTTTTTTTTGGCGGTCATTCGTCCGCACGAGAGGACTAGACTCGTTAGGAACGGCCCAGTGTGGCATGGGCAGAGAATAATGAGGCGAGGATTTGATTCGTTTGTGTTTTAATTTAGTGCCACCTCCGCCTCTCGAGGGGGAAATCGGGGCATAACCAATTAGACACGGACGGTAAGCGCGGTGCTGTACACTGTAACGGCCGGCTGTGCGCACATGTACCGCCGCCGCCTCGTTGTGCGGGGGGGGGGGTGCGCGCGTCGGAGACGTGTAGGAACGGTCCACGTGCGCGCGTTGGCCACGGGGGGTGCGTGGCCAGGTGTGCTCCGTGGATCGCGGGCCACGCGCCGCGTTAGCTCCGCGACGGGTGACC